CCTCTCAAATAACAATCATCCCTTCAAACACCTTCCTATCCCTCTCAGATACCTCTCCAACCCTCTCAAATAACAATCATCCCTTTCAAACACCTTCCTACCCCCTTTCCTACCCCTTTTCAACACCTCCTAGTTATTTTATCTCTACTCACAGCCCCTTTCAAACTCTCCTTCCCTTTTTAAATTCACTCCCATCCCTCTCATAAACTTTCTCCCACTCATCCTTCCTACAAAACTCCCTACTGCTCCCCCTCCATCCTTTTCTCTCCCATTCTACTCCTCCTCCCCCTCCAAAAAAAAAAACATCTCAAACATGACTCGGTTCCTTTCAATTCACTCTCTACCTCTTTAAACTTTTCCTTCGACATCCTATATAAAATATTGTCCTTACGTCTCTCTCTCTCTCTCTCTCTCTCTCTCTCTCTCTCTCTCTCTCTCTCTCTTTTGTGTTATATTCACGACAAAGAGACTTGTGTGTTTGTCGTTCCTTGTTTCATTTGTCCATTATAACAGATGGCTATATACGGTTTATATATATATGTATAGGTTAGTGGAATACATTTTAAATGGTCTTTAGTCTCCACACAATGAGCCATTTTAACCAAAGGTCTCTATTGCAACGACATATTGAGTGTTTGTATTAAAATCTGTATGTGATCCGAAACTTGGTATTGGTAATGAGTGGGGAGTGATAGAGAGGGATGAGAAGGAGATGAGAGGGAAAGTAAGTATAAAATAAAAGAAGGATGAGAGGGAAAGTAAGTATAAAATAAGAGGGATGAGAGGGAAAGTAAGTATAAAATAAGAGAGGGATGAGAGGGAAGTAAATATAAAAATAAGAGAGGGATGAGAGGGAAAGTATAAAATAAGAGGGATGAGAGGGAAAATAAATATAAAATAAAAGAAGGATGAGAGGAAAGTAAGTATAAGAGAGATGAGAGGAAAGTAAATATAAAATAAGAGAGGGATGAGAGGGAAAGTAAGTATAAAATAAAAAGAAGGATGAGAGGGGAAAGTAAGTATAAAATAAGAGGATGAGAGGGAAAAGTAAACATAAAATAAGAGAGGGATGAGAGGGAAAGTAAAGTATAAAATAAGAGAGATGAGAGATAAATATAAAATAAGAGAGGGATGAAAAGTAAGTATAAAATAAAAGAAGGATGAGAGGGAAAGTAAATATAAAATAAGAGAGGGATGAAGTAAGAGAGGGATATAAAATAAGAGTATGAGAGGGAAAGTAAGTATAAAATAAGAGTGGGATGAGAGGGAAAGTAAGTATAAAATAAGAGGGATGAGAGGGAAAGTAAGTATAAAATAAGAGAGGGATGAGAGGGAAAGTAAATATAAAATAAAAGAGGGATGAGAGGGAAAGTAAGTATAAAATAAGAGAGGGATGAGAGGGAAAGTAAATATAAAATAAGAGAGGGATGAGAGGGAAAGTAAATATAAAATAAAAGAGGGATGAGAGGGAAAGTAAGTATAAAATAAGAGTGGGATGAGAGAGAAAGTAAGTATAAAATAAAAGAGGGATGAGAGGGAAAGTAAGTATAAAATAAGAGAGGGATGAGAGGGAAAGTAAGTATAAAATAAGAGAGGGATGAGAGGGAAAGTAAATATAAAATAAAAGAGGGATGAGAGGGAAAGTAAATATAAAATAAAAGAGGGATGAGAGGGAAAGTAAATATAAAATAAGAGAGGGATGAGAGGGAAAGTAAATATAAAATGAGAGATAAATAATAATAATGTCTCTCATATAAAGAGAAGTCTCTATCTCTCAGCTACACAATACAATCATCTCTTCTAAACTGAAAAAAAAGTAACAAATGAGTTTTTCTTGTATGCTAAAAGCTTCTCGAGGCTCCAGCTGTCACCTCGTTCCCTGGACACATCTGGGTCACTGTCATACTAATCTTTCATTTATATCCATCTTGAGGAATTATTACCATAGGATTAATCATTTCATCATCCTGGTTTAATTTCTGTATATAAACAATATAAATTTGGGTTCTAGATAGATTTTAATCCAGTTCCCAGCAGAGTGTTGTATATAGTGTATAACCTCTATTTAGTGGACTGTATAGAGAGGAAAATCCGTTATATCGAGGGTCCGTTAGGTATGAAATCCCCGTCTAATGGATTATACAGAGAGAGAATTCCGTTATACAGAAGATTCAGTACAGGTATAACAGAAACTGTAATATACGCAGGTAAGTCAATGTAAACAAACGCCCCTTGAGTGCCGGGTATTGTCCCATCCCTTGAAGGCTCATAGTGGTGGGGAAGGAACCTTGAGCGACAACAGAATAATTAAGGTGAGGAAGACTAAATCCATCGTGGTCCAGTGGATAAACTTCCTGTCTACCATTTTTGTGGGTCTTGGTTCGATACCCAGAGGTAATTATTCTTTACATTGATTTACCTGTGTTCATTACAGTTTATGATGTATTTCATAGTAAACAAACTGTTTTACCATCAATAGCAGATGTTAATATAGATAAATATAGTTGTCGTAGAAAAAATTAACATAGGGTAATACTGTTAATCATTCAGTGACACAACTAAGCCTTGGACACTCTCATTGGCATGTGGCTATTGGAGTGTAGATATAAGGACTTGACACTAGTGGTATAATGCCTTGGAGATTTATTATAGTTCAGGAGACATCATATTTCTTTTAACTAACAGAGGAACTTTTATTGTTTTGTCTCTGTTCCTCGACACAGCAGTTAAAGGTGTTCGTTTGTGGGTGTTGTGGGGAGGGAAGTGTGTTGTGGGGAGGGAAGTGTGTTGTGGGGAGGGAAGTGTGTTGTGGGGAGGTGAGTGTGTTGTGTGGGAAGGCGAGTGTATCATGGGAGGGAAGATCCATCTGTTTCATGAGAGATCCCGACTTTGCTAGATTGACTTTGCTTTCTCATACGGCACCTGTAGCCCTGAAGCCACCAGCTTACCTGATAGGTATTCATGACTTACCTCCACCACCACCTACTCCTCAAAGGTGTTAGGTTAACTGGCTCAAAGAGGAATTTCACCGCTATCTGCCGCCTGTAAGCTCCCGGCTGAGAAGAAATTCCCAAGTGCTGTCTGATCTCCTCGAAATTTAGTTAACTGAATGATAGACTGGGGATGAGGTTATAATGACCTTATATACACGAAGAGGAGGGAAGTGTTTCAGGGGATATTGCAGATTAATATTATTTTCTGGAGTGAAGATTAATCCCAGATGGAGTGTTGCCGAGGTAGATGTTACTAGTAGTGATGAACACCTGTCGTAAGTGTATATACTCTTCATATATCAAGTTAGGGGTCAGAGGTTCGTGTGAAGCAGCATCGACCCCAAATGAGATAAAAACACCACACCCGCACCACAAGACAGCGAGGGTATGTTGCTCCTTAAGTTCTGGTAATTTGTATATAAATATTTAGTTTCATCATAAAGGTTTGGACATTTGGTTTAGTGAAATATTTTCTTTCCTGATAAACCTCATGAAACAACGTGTAGATACTTTTAACTTTTTTTCTTTTTTTAATTCTGATCTTCAACAATAAAAATTTCAAGACCATAATATTAGTTTGATTAAAATACAAGCAGGTAAAAGGTGTTATTGTAGGTAGATGTATCTCGGGCATAAGAGGCTTTATTGCTCCTTTCAATTGGGAAAATAAGCGCTTTGTGTATATATGTATTACTTATATGTAAAGTAGATATATGCACGTATAAACACGTTAATATTTCTGTGTGTGGATGTATGTATGTATGTATGTATGCATGCTTGTCACAATTCTCGTTTCCAACATGTATTACCAGACCTAATGATCAAATTGGGTTTATAATTCAACTACTAGCCCTTATTAGCATTCCATCACGGATCACTGAGTACCTCGTAATTGACTCTCTCCAACTGGCTTCTGATTGTGACCTCAGTTGACCCAGCTTTTGTAGTTTTTTGTAGTGTTAATATCGAGCTGGACTCACATATTTGGTACATTTCTTGGTTTATGTAGGGAATATGTAGTATGGTTGAAGTTACATATTCACTGATACATAATGCGAATATGTAACTTCATCCACATACTACATACTACATATTATCTTCTATTATGTAGTGACTATGTAGCCATGGTTTAGGTTTTTAGATTGGTGGCTTTAGCTACATAATCATAACAGTGCTGTCCATTTATACAACGCTGTTAGGCAGATAAACCCCACTGAATAGACAGACAAGCAGACAGACAGAAAGATAGACAGTTTAATTTACCAAACAGGTCACCAAAAACATTATTTACTCAGCTTTCCACAAAATTTCATCTATCTTTTAATCATAATTACCGAACAAATTATTCTAAAAAAAAATGTTTGGGATGAAAAAAATTAATCTATTTTTTTTCAGGTAAATTTTTATTTTGCTTCCTGTGTGTTACTGTTGAGAGTGTGTTCATGTGTCCTTTATGTTCATATGTGTCCTGCATGGAAGTGTCCGCAACATTATTAACTTGTCATAGTGTTGTGATATGCTTTAGACTATGTAAACAATATGTACAGTCGCCAAAAAAACTATCTATACAAAATTGTGTTGAAAAATTATGAGACAACGGATGAAGGATTTTGACAACCCTACCGAGACAACAGGAGTCGTAGTGTTCATTCTGAAATTCATCGATCACCCCAAGAATAGATAGTTTTATGAGTTCCTGTTCATGTTAACTGTATAGGAATAAAGTCGTTCACAAACAACTATGACACGTGAAGGGGTTTAATAGAAACACCTGTAAAGCACATGAAAGGGGTAATGGAAACACCTGTAAACCACATGAAGGGGGTAATGGAAACACCTGTAAACCACATGAAGGGGGTAATGGAAACACCTGTAAACGACATGAAGGGGGTAATAGAAACACCTGTAAACCACATGAAGGGGGTAATAGAAACACCTGTAAACCACATGAAGGGGGCAACAGAAACACCTGTAAACGACATGAAGGGGGTAATAGAAACACCTGTAAACGGATGATCCACATGTTTATTGGCTGCATACAAACCCTAAAACATATTTACAAATACAAAAATCACATCAGCAAACTAGGTACTACCGTCTCGTTACACCTCGCTCTCCATAATCATTAGTCCATATGTACAAAGTCGTGGGCTGATCTGACCCACCAAATGGAAGGGGGGAGAAAAGGGAATGATGTGGGAAGGAAGGGATGGGGTGGAATAGAGGGATTAAGGGAAAATAACAAACATGAAATGACACTACATTATACAGCTCTACAGAAATCCATCTCCTAATATGGATTTCTAAATAAATTGAAAGTTTAAAATATCTATATTTATTTATTTATATATATATATTTTTTGTCTATTAACAAGGGGTAAGTGGATGCGTCTTGCCATCTCAATCAATCATCAACTTTTGTAAATATTGTACACGAATGGAATATCAATCTGTCTCTCTCTCTCTCTCTCTCTCTCTCTCCTCCTTCTTGCCACATCTCCTATCTCCTCAAGTTTGGTCCTGAGATTAAAACCATCGAGTGACCATGATGTCAATACTATGACATCATTAACTACCTCGGCACCAAAATGACATCTTCTAGAACAACTCTATATTGACCCAAAGAAACCTTGTAATTATTTGATAGTTTGGTATAATTTATCGAACGCAAAGAAGATTATACTTAGTTGTAGGAATAATATTTGTTCTGGTATAATTTGGATGAAAGATAATATTATTCAGGACATCACATAATTCTCTATAATTCGGACGGGTGGACTTATTCTATTATCTATAACTACAGTCTTTTTTATCCTGTAAGTATTCCCAAAATGTAAAATAATCGGCTGAGGAAGAAAACAAAAAGTAGGAATATATTATACACTCGTTCATTATAACCAAGAACACAGCTGTTTTTCTTTCAATGACGTCACACAACCTAAGCCAATCAGCGACTTTGCCTTTTCGTCACACAACCTAAACCAATCAGCGACTTGCCTTTTCGAATCATATTTCTTTTTTATTTACGAGTTATGTTAAGTAGATTATTTCACATTTATCTTTCATTAATATTATTCACAACTTCCTCTAGCAGTTTATATTATGATTATGGCTTATCAAAATGGATTTATTAGTCAAACGTAGAATATAAATCAATTTGATCTGGAAATAAACCTAAGAAGAACTAAATATAAACCGGTAATTTCATGAATAAGTTAATGTTTAAGCCACAGTGTATAATGTTTAAAAGATAATTATAATAACCTGCTATTGGTCTCTTCACTTATACATCAGTTATTCGTAGCTTTATTATTATTATTCATTTACATTATTCATCAGGTAAATGATCATTAATACCTGTGTGTTATTCATCATGTATCACTTGGAGTTTACCTGTGTCACCTGTTAATTAACCTCCTGATCTTATTTCACTTGAAGGTTAACTACTCTAACACAACTTAAGAGGATTAGGTTAATTTGGGTTAACGTTTGGGTGGTTAATCTTCAGGTGAAATAATTTGGGGTGTCTGATCTTGAGGCAAATCAAGATATATATAGTAATTTGATTTTGTATCGTTTTGTAGGTTAGAATAGGTCAGGTCAGGTCAGGTCAGGTCAGGTTAGGTTAGGTTAGGTTTGGTTAGATTTACTTACATAAGGATAGTGTTAGGTTAGGTTAATCTAGAGGTGAAATAAACTGGGATGTCTAATCATCAGGTTATCGAAAAAATGTATTGTTCTATTTTTCTATCATTAACCTTCTTCATCACCCTACTTGATAACTTCACTACAGTCGTTATATTTACTTATCTTGTTATCCATTAGTTAAACGATTATCCACTTCAAAAAGATGTAAATTATCCTATAAAATCCACACTGGCTATAATCCATAATCCGTTTATATTAATTCCCTTAATCCAGATTCCGTATTATCAGATATTCCCTTGCTAATCCATCTCTCCTTCTCGTCATTGGCGTAAATCAACTTTTTCCTAATTGAAATTAAGTATTTTTTTTTAATTACGATATTATTTTAGTTGTTGTTTGTGTATTTGGTTTAATATTCAATCAATTGTTATATAACTCTCGAATTTATTATTAGTGTAGAGGATAAATAATCGTGTTTTCATAAATTTGGATTCTCGATTTTGTTCGTTTATTCTGACAATCAACTTTTATTTTTCGTTATTATTTTTTCATTTGTATTTTTTTAACAGTAATTACCGTGTTGACATAATATTGGTTAAATATGAAAATTATATGAAACTTATTTCTTATTACGAATTGATGGTAACGATTCTGTCGAGAAATATAATTAATAAAAAAAATATATTAAAATTGTGAATCGTAAACAATATCATCCATGAGACCTGCGGCACCACAATACCGCAGGTCTTGTATGTACACTCCTTCACGCTACACACCCTGGCGCATTACACACCCTGACGCATTACACACCCTGACGCATTACACACCCTGACGCATTACACACCCCACGACGCATTACACACCCTGACGCATTACACACCCACACGACATTACACACCGACGCATGACGCACTACACACCCTGACGCATTACACACTGACGCATTACACACCTGACGCATTACACACCCTGACGCATTACACACCCTGACGCACGACGCATTACACACCCTGACGCACTACACACCCTGACGCATTACACACCCTGACGCATTACACACCCTGACGCATTACACACCCTGACGCACTACACACCTCCGCTACAAAACGAAGATACATGAGAAAAATCGCAAGCACCCAGACGTTATACATATGTATTACGGAACACGACAACAGGTAATATATAGAGTATAAAAGAATCTCTTAGAGCTCAGACACACTTGAGTTAGTAGAGCTCGACACACTTGAGTTAGTAGAGCTCAGACACACTTGAGTTAGTAGAGCTCAGACACACTTGAGTTAGTAGAGCTCAGACACACTTGAGTTAGTAGAGCTCGTGTATACATCCAGAGTCTGTCATAGTTACAGGGGGGAAAATATTCTTGTATATATTGTCTTGAACACCATCAACACAAAACAGAAACGACCTGAAAGTTTATCTACGGGAAAGTTGTGAAAGTTTTCCGTATAAAGGAGAGAAGGTAGCGGCCCTCTCCTACACGTCAGCGAGAAATTGTAAAAAAATTGGGTAATGTCACTGACCATATTCTGTACAGACTCCCTCAGTGGAAAACTAAAGACTCTACCTAACTTTATCAGCTTACTGTTTAGTTGAGCCTCAGTGCCCTGTAACACACCATGTCTATGTTCCTTAGTCACTTGTTGAACAATAGTTAAAAAACTCACACTTTTATATATACGCACAAGATCATTTCGTATTCATTTATTATCGGCAACTCGTTTTTTTCACAAGATATTTATTACAATAATTTAACTTTTTTTTAAATATGACTTGTGACATTTAGATTTTTTTAAGCATTGCTATATTTAATTTTCATCATATATATATTTTTTTCAGTATAACATTTTCTTATTTCACACAACTTGTACATCACACATCAGTACACTTGATAAAAATAAAATCAATTATTCTGAGTAAAAGCTGATTATTTCATCATATTGCCACGAGAGGTGATGGCAGGTAACCTGACACAGTCCACCATAATAGACCATCAAAACATTAGAGTTATTTTCAATATTTTTTTTTTCAGGTTAAAACAACATCAAAAAATCTATTGGACCTGATCACTGAGGACTCCACACGTGCCGGACACAATGAAACAGCCAACGTTTCTCTCACAGAAATCTTATTAAGTATTGGACCAAACAAATTTATCGCTGTCAAAATAATATTACGAAACATTTTGTACAGAGACAATACTTCACACCTTCAGTTACTTCTGGTGAACGATAGAACAATTAACATATCACAATTGACATAAACAACAGATGGAAATTCACTACAAACTCGATTGATATTTTTCTTTAGCCACACATAACCGGAAGAAAATATAATAATTTTGATTACAGTATATATATATATATGTATATTGAGGTATAATTTTTTCCTTTAGTTATGAAGGGTAAATGAAGTTTATTGTTTTCGTTTTAAATCACCATCAAATGATACGAGTGGACATGTACAGTATAAGAGACTATGCGGGTATATAGTGAAAGTCCTCACATTTACTTCCCTTCGCCGTCGCTGGGTCTGAGAACATCTCCTCCTCGTTCGTCTACTGTCACTATTTACGCTAAAGTCGCCGCCATTTCTACCTGATGTACTGGTGTGACATGGTCGTGTCTGGCTAGAATTTCATTGTTATTTTTTTTATTTATTTCTTGTGTAATATTTTCTGTAGGTGTTGGATGCTTGACTCTCTAGGCCAGAGCTCCTACGATACCTCTACGTTTTCTCAGAGTGACCAAGAACCTCAACCACTATACTGTAAACATTCTCTCTTTCACAGGAGTTGGTACATCTCTCTCTCTCTCTCTCTCTGCTGTATATTCCATCCTCTTTGTTTGATTTATTCTCTTCTTCCACAAAACGCCAGTATATATTCCAGTATTTTTTTTCTGATTTTTTTTTTGCTGTTCACTGCTGTATAATGTAACAGCAAAATGTCTTGTGTTAAAAATGAGTCATCTCACTTAGACTGTGTCCATTCATTGGGTATTTTCATCTATTTATTTCTTTAAGGTGACGGTATTTACTATTCTAATCTGATCATTATTTTCTTGGGCTTATTTTTAGTTACAGATGAACAAGTTTTGGAAGAGCAGGTTCAATATTGCGCAAATTTGGCCGCAGTTCAGTGTGTCCACTTTATGCTACACACACACACACACATGTTAGTGTTTTTTATTTCTGTCACTTTAGAGAATTTACGTCAGAGGCAATCACGAGTTTTTTATCTTTCTCATTTACTAGTATGAAAGCTCCTGTCACTCAGACCGACACGACAGTCCACTCCAGTCATACACTCAACAAAAATTTATCTCCTGTTACATTCAGCAGCATATAGTTGACAGTCACATAAGTCATAACTGTGTACCACTCAACACCACTTGTATATATATATATCAGTTATGTACATTTCACTTAACATAATACATACAGTCAGTAATGTTTTGATCAAGGTTATAGCGTTGATCATTGACTGTCTGACTGTTTGACTGTTTGATCCAAATACCAGTTCCTATGACCGGATACTCTTCTTCACTTCACCCTCACGGTACAAACTAGTAATACTTGAACTAGGGTCATGACAGAAGTAGCTGCGGGGCACCAACCGGGTCAAAACCATTAAGACCAAGAGAGACATACATACATCAGAGGTCAACCAAGGTCAAAGTTTATCCCTTTTGATTTAAACCTCCCCCAGTTGACCACCACTCGTTAATCTTCTTCACTCGTTGATCTGCACACGTTAACCTTCTTCACTCGTTGACTTTTTTCGTAAAATTTTATCCATTGCCTTTACTCGTTAACCCCCACTCGTTAATTTCCTTTACTCGTTAACCCCCACTCGTTAATTTCCTTTACTCGTTAACCCCCACTCGTTAATTTCCTTTACACGTTAACTTGCACTCGTTAATCTTTTCCATTGCCTTCATTCGTTAACCACCACTCGTTTAACACCCTCCATTGATATCACTCGTTAACCCTTCTTCATTCGTTAACCACTACTCATTAACCTCCACCATTCCCTTCACTCGATTTTAACCTCGTCCCTTTGACCTTTCCTGTTGACCTCGTCGGCTGGGTGGCTCAGGTGACCTAGGAGATCATCTTGCATGGGAGGCGTGAAGAGTGTTGAGTAAGGTGGTCAGGACAGCCAGCACCAGCACTAAGGAGAGTGAACACAGATCCTTTGTGCCTGAGCCGTGTTGCATGGCGGCTGGATGTTCTCCTGTGTGTGTGGACATAGGTGTTAGTGAGGCAATGATGAGAGAGAGAGAGAGAGAGAGAGGGTTACTGACGGTAAATGAGAATTATCAACAGGTAATTAAATAGTGTTATTTTCAGGTATTTAATTAACGTTATTGGTGATTATTAAATAAAGTTGAATATAGTTATTAAATATAGGTTATAGATAATTAATTTAGAAGGTTAATAGCATATAGTAAAGGATTTAATGACTGGTACTAAAGGTGCTAATGACAGGTGTTAATGGGAGGTATTAAGTGGTGTTAATAGCATTTACTGGTAATTAATTTAGAAGACTTAATGACAGGAATTAACTAACAGTAATGACAAGTATTAAATAACTTTAATGGCAATTATTAAATAAACTTAATGGAAGGTGATAAATGAACTAAATTGAAAGTAGTTATTGAGGGTTAATGGCAGCAAGAAAAGAGGTTGAAAGTGGCAAAATAGTAGTGGAGGTTAGTGGCATAACGTGACATGGAATATTGTCTTAGGCATTTTACATAATAACTGATTTAACACATTGACTAGAACTTACATACTAATGAATAGAGTTAAAGCAACAGTGGATTTTTTTTCAGAGAGAGTATCTGACTCACCATTGAGGACATGCACAAGGACGCTGCCTGTAGCTACGTCACCCAGGGAACATGTGTAGTTGCCTGAGTCCGTGGGCGTCGCGTTGGCTATGAAGAGTGTTGAGACGATCACTGATGAACTCATGTCCGTCTTGACGCTGTTGAGGGAGAAAGAGTAGGTCAGGTCAGGTCAGATTTGGTTAGGTTAGGTTAGGTTAGGTTTGGTTTGGTTTGGTTTGGTTAGGTTAGGTTAGGTTAGGTTAGGTTTGGTTAGGTTTGGTTTGGTTTGGTTAGGTTTGGTTTGGTTAGGTTTGGTTTGGTTTGGTTAGGTTAGGTTGTATCTTTTGTATTCATATCTGTAATGTTGGTTCTGAATGACTAAACTGAAATGGATAAGTGGCTGAATATTTACGGCTGGGTTGTTGCTAGTTATCCACGAGACAGTAAGAACCTGAAGTAATTGCTAGCGGCAGTAAATTGTGATGAGAATAATGTGATAGCTCCTTGTTCCCTCCTTTGTCTTGTTCACTGTTACTTGTGGTAGGAGTCAGTGAGTTATTATTATTATTATTATTATTATTATTATTATTATTATTATTATTATTATTATTATTATTATTATTATTATTATTATTATATTACATTATTCAATTTACCGCTAACTTTATTAATTGATTCGCTAATTCATTGTTTATTCATTAATTCCATCCATTATTATCATGAATATTCCTGTATTTAGAAACGTATTTATGTATTAATTTATATATACAATTTCATCAAGATTTAAATAATATAAAGAGCGTCTTATACTATTCTTAAACTAAAGATAAATTTTTAACATTTTCATTAGATTTTACACAATGTTATATTTTTAATAGTCTGTTCATACATCTGTAAACAATATTACGGTACAGACACATACAAATCTCAGGTCTTTTACGATTGGATAAAGTTGTTGCCGAAAAAGATCCACTCGTCTCGTATCTAATCCAATCCAGACTTCCTCAGACGCACAGGAAAATTAGTATGCATTGCTTCTCATGCCGCTAGTGGACGTGATTTAATTTGGGGGAACTCGGCTGTGCAACAATATATAGATCTAAGCTTGAGATCCACCTTTACCTGATGGAATGACTGTAATTATTTGTATTTTGATGTAATTACTCTGGCGTTGTGGTGTAAATACTTCAATAATTACTTTTGGGGGGGTTGAAGTGGGTGGCTTTTTTGTGATTCTTTTTTTTAATGTAATGTTGATAAATAGTTCGTGGTAGTGGTGCAAACGATGATAATTAATGATGGTTCTTGATCTGATGGTTCTACTCTCGTCTGATGGTGTCCAGGTTATGGTATTAGTAACTATGTGATAATAAAGGTAAATAATGTTAAACCACTGATAACGTGATGGTTTAACAGGATAATCATGTGGTCCTAAACCTACCACAACTTCCTAGATATAAACCTATATGATATAATAACCAGGATATAAAACAATACAAAACAAATACCATGATACTATAAGCTATCCATATAACGGATTATATGTGAGGGTACTATCCATTATATCGAAATCCGTTATATATGAAACCTCCAAATAACGGATTCCCTCGCAGCTCTTCTTGTGTTATGGTGATGTTGTCTCATATATCATAATACCTGTTTGTGAAGCATAATAGTCAGCCAGGGTGGGTAAAGGTGTGCCGCTCGCCCATACCTGTTCAAAGGATTCCTACCACAGCACTTGTCTCATTCTGTAGGTTAGGTTAGGTTAGGCTAGGTTAGGTTAGGTTAGATTAGGATTTATTTTACAATATTTTCTCTGAATGTGTTATAATCTTCCTTCCTTTCTTCTTTCCTTCCTTCCCTCGCTCCCTCTATATCCCTGTACACACACACACACACACACACACACACACACACACACACACACTCCTAAGTCAAGCCTTACTCTTCCTCCTCTTGAATGTGTGGTTATATGACTCTTAAGACTCTCCCGACAAGTCTAAAAGTTTCATTAATTGGTCTTTAAGTCTTTTGAAAATTATTCGATATATCTTCTGGTCCGTCGTAAATTGGATCGGTTCTATAAGACTCTCAAAACTTACCTTAATGCAACACCTGTGGGTATATTAAAGTATCATAATTTACATAAAGACTCCTCGTAAAGACCAAATACCAACATTGATCGTTTTAGTAATTGTTTTAAAGACTACCCTAAGACCCACCTACTACACATCCATACAGACTTACCAAAACCACCTTACTACACTCCCACACCAAGACTATCTAACACCCACCTTACTACACCCCCACACAAAGACCCCCCCCTTCCCCCTAAGACCCTTGATGTACTATACCTGATACCACCCCTGGACGTGTCGTAGTTCAACATATGATCACCGTGGCGCCACAGGATGAAGGTCTGTGCTTGAGGCATTTGACTGATGGTACACTTAAGCTCGATGGTACTGCCGGTCTTGTAGAACTTCTCCTGTACCGAGGCTCCTCTCTCATCAATGATCTCTACTACCGGAGCTGAGAGAGACAGGGAGAATGGCGTGAGAATCATGGAGAATTGATGTAGGGGATTGGAAGATTAATGAGGAGAGAGAGAAAGAGCGAGAGACTCAGAAAAAAACGTGACAAATTATACGATCGATAAAAAGAAAAGGAAAATTACACAGTTTGAGAATAAATAAAAAATACAATAATAGACAAGGAAACATTTATAACCAGCCATAACCCCAGATACAAATAATAAAACAAAAACAAAAGATAATGATATAAACAAAAGTAAACACGAGAAAAAGACCTCAAAAATTTTTTCACGATATAAATATGAGAGTTTCTGCTGCCGCCTCCAACACATAGCTCAGACCCCACCCACAACACTGCCTCTACCTCCTCACAACTGGACCAAAACTTTACGCATTTCTTCTCAATTATCGTCATCATCTCAGACTATTCTCTTTACGTCTTTTCTCCATGTCTTGCGTCTTTTCTCCATGTCTTGCGTCTTTTCTCCTTGTCTTATGTCTTTCTTACATGTCTTACGTCTTTTTTCCATGTCTTGCGTCTTTTCTCCTTGTCTTATGTCTTTCTTACATGTCTTGCGTCTTTTCTCCATGTCTTGCGTCTTTCTTCCATGTCTTGCGTCTTTTCTCCATGTCTTGCGTCTTTCTTGCATGTTTTACGTCTTTTCTCCATGTTTTGCGTCTTTCTTGCATGTTTTACGTCTTTTCGCCATGTCTTGCGTCTTTCTTGCATGTTTTACGTCTTTTCGCCATGTCTTATGTCTTTCTTACATGTTTTACGCCTTTTCTCCATGTCTTGCGACTTTTCTCCATCTCTTTACGTCTTTTCTCCATCTCTTTACGTCTTTTCTCTATGTCTTGCGTCTTTCTTACATGTCTTGCGTCTTTTCTTCATGTCTTGCGTCTTTCCTCCATGTCTTGCGTTATTCTTATTGTGGTGAAAATCCCTCTTACTAAGTTTATTTTAACCTCTTGTGTTTAACCTCTCGTGTTTAACCTCTCGTGTTTAACCTCTTAGTGTTTAACCTCTCGTGTTTAACCTCTCGTGTTTAACCTCTTAGTGTTTAACCTCTCGTGTTTAACCTCTTGTCTTTAACCTCTTAGTGTTTAACCTCGTGTATAACCTCTCGTGTTTAACCTCTCGTGTATAACCTCTCGTGTTAACCTCTTGTGTTTAACCTCTTAGTGTTTAACCTCTAGTGTTTAACCTCTCGTGTATAACCTCTCGTGTTTAACCTCTTGTGTTTAACCTCTTGTGTTTAACCTCTTAGTGTTTAACCTCTTATGTTTAACCTCTCGTGTATAACCTCTCGTGTTTAACCTCTTGTGTTTAACCTCTTGTGTTTAACCTCTTGTGTTTAACTCTCTTAGTGTTTAACTCTCGTGTATAACCTCTCGTGTTTAACCTCTCGTGTATAACCTCTCGTGTTTTAACCTCTTGTGTTTAACCTCTAGTGTTTAACCTCTAGTGTTTAACCTCTTAGTGTTTAACCTCGTGTATAACCTCTCGTGTTTAACCTCTTAGTGTTTAACCTTCTTAGTGTTTAACCTCTCGTGTTTAACCTCTTGTGTTTAACCTCTTAGTGTTTAACCTCTCGTGTATAACGTCTCGTGTTTAACCTCTTGTGTTTAACCTCTCCTCTCGTGTATAACCTCTCGTGTTTAACCTCTCGTGTTTAACCTCTTGTCTTTAACCTCTTAGTGTTTAACCTCTCGTGTATAACCTCTCGTGTATAACCTCTCGTGTTTAACCTCTCGTGTTTAACCTCTTGTGTTTACAGTGTAGCCTCTGAATTGAATAAAATCATCTGACGAGACAAAAAAATAAATAAAACTCTCGTCCCATTAGTAAAAGGCTTAAAATATTCTTATTCGTTCAAGATTTTTTTTTACAACACACAAGAAATCTGGCGCTCCCCCCCCCCAAAAAAAAATCCTTATGTACGTTCTAAGACGACATAAAAGAGATTGTGTAAACATGTAAATCAGGTCTACATCTGAGTGTAAAAAAAACCCGCTGCCTTAAACTAAACACCTGTTCTGTATTCTGAATGTTGTTGTTGTTGTTTTGACTGTGGCTGACTGGGGGAAGTGGAGATGACAGCTTGACCACGGATGTACCAGAGAGAGAGAGAGAGAGAGAGAGAGAGAGAGAGAGAGAGAGAGTGGTGAGTGATGATGTGGTGAAAGTGGTGAATGGTAGTAGGGGTGGTGAGTGTTGGTGGTTGGTGCGCGGTAGGTGGTGGTGGTGGTGGTGGTGGTGGTGGGTGGTGGTGGTGGTGGTGGTGGTGAGTGTTGGTGGTTGGTGCGGTAGGTGGTGGTGGTGTGGTGAGTAGTGGTGGTGAGAGATGGTTGGGAAATGGCAGATGCGGCGGTGAGAGTTAAAGAGAGAGAAAGAGAGAGTTAAAGAGAGAGAGAGAGAGAGTTAAAGAGGCGTTTAAGGGAGAGTGAGGCCGAGGAGAGAGAGAGAGAGAGATGTAAATATAAGAAAAAAAGACTAAAACACCGGGGAAGAGAACAGGGAAGAGATAGATTAAAGAGCCGGGTAAAGAAAGAAATAAAGAGATACATGGAAAGAGAGAAGAAACAGGAAGGAAGAGAGTTAGAGCCTGAGAGAGAGAGCAGTGTGGTCGATGCGTCGTGGGCTGAGTGTTGGCACCATTGGCTCTCTCAGTCCTCATGGCACACCAACCTAGCTCACGTCTTCCTTCATGGCAGACTGTGTGGCCGTTGATGTCTGTGGCCGTTGATGTCTGTGGCCGTTGATGTCTGCCGTTGATGTCTGTGGCCGTTGTCTGTGGCTGTGGCCGTTGTCTGTTTGATGTCTGTAGGCCGTTGTCTGTGGCCGTTGATGTCTGTGGCCGTTGTCTGTGGCCGTTGATGTCTGTGGCTGTTGGTGTCTGTGGCCGTTGATGTCTGTGGCCGTTGATGTCTGTGTCTGTTGATGTCTGTGGCCGTTGTCTGTGGCCGTTGATGTCTGTGGCTTGTCTGTGGCCGTTGATGTCTGTGGCTGTTGGTGTCTGTGGCCGTTGATGTCTGTGGGTTGATGTCTGTGGCCGTTGATGTCTGTGGCCGTTGATGTCTGTGGGTGTGTCTGTAGGAGGATGTCTTGTCTGTGTGTATGAAGGCTGTTACTCGCTTGTACAGTATCAACGAGTATGTATGTCTGTTACTGTTGTCTGTTAGAGTCTGTTACTGTTGTCTGTTAGAGTCTGTTACTGTTGTCTGTTAGAGTCTGTTGCGTTGTCTGTTAGAGTTTGAAGGTGGTTTATCTGATTATGTGATTTCTTGTGTTGTGTGTGTGTGTGTGTGTGTGTGTGTGTGTGTGTGTGTGTGTGTGTGCTCATTCTCTCTCTCTGTCCTTCCCTTGTACTTTATCTCTTACCTCATACCTCCCCCTCTCCTCCCCCCCTCCCCCCTCTCCTCCCCACTCCCCCCTCTCCTCCCCACTCCCAACCACTCCACTACACAATATTGCAGGGGTAAGGAGACTCTACACAGCCACAGGTTAACCCTGGCTGCTGGACTGGTGCCTCTGTGTCTAACTAAGTGCTGGTCTCATCCTTCTGCCTTACGTCTACCAAACAAACGAAATAAAGACCAATTAGATAACTATTCCCCTGGTGGTGTTTTGTTTACAGGGAGACACATACATACATACATACATACATACATACATATACATACATACTGTACATACATACATACAGGGAGGAAAAATCAGCGTAGGTCACAGGAGGCGGGGGGATAACGTATGGATGAAGGGGGAGGGCGTGTGTGTGATGATTGATGGGCGTGTAGGCGCGAGGAGGCCACGTGGGGAGAGGGGAGGGGGTGGGGAGGTGGGGTGGGGGTAGAGCGTTGGAGGAAGAAGCAGCTGGGGAGGAACCTAAAGGATTAATGATGAGGTTGTAAGGTTGGGAGAGGGGTGGGGGGAGAGGGGAAGGGGAGAGAGATGAGAGGGGTGGGTGGTGAGGGGAAGGTAATGAGGGAGGGAAGAATGTGGAGGAAGAAAGTGAAGAGGGAAGAAATGAGTTAAAGGAAGCGATTGAGGGAGGGAGGAAGGAATCTAGGAGAGAGAGAGAGGGAGAGGGAGAGAAGACTCACCAACATAGCACTTACCCCTGTCAAATTTTAATGCCGAGTTTATTCATACATTCCAACTTTTTACAGCCAGTCACTTAGAGTTACATCATAATTTTGAGTTACATTTATATTACTGAATTTTATTTTTCAATTTACATAACCAAATGATTTATTAACACCCGGTATGTTTTTTTAAGGTATAATAATCAATATAAGTAATGTATATATTTTATACAGAGGAAAAATAGGATTCATATACATTCTTATTTCTTTACGTTAAATAAATCATCACAATAACTACATTGTATAAATTGACATAAATAATATAAATCACAGGTAAATAACATTAATTACCTGACATGACATTCACAAATACTGTTTTATTACCATTTTCTCGTAAGTTATGTTCAGGTAAAGTCTCAGTGTAGTTTTGATGCCATATTGATGAGTCAGGTGTGTCATTACAACTCAAGATACGAGGAAAAGTTTAATAAAGATATTTTGAGAATCTACCACGACTTGTCTGGTATTCCTGGAGATAAGATAATGTATAACTCCTGTAGGTAGAATGTTAAGCCCCCAAGAATGTTTGAGAATGTATTAGGAGAGTGAGGTAGAGAATGTTGTGAGAGTGAGGGAGAGAATGTTTTGAGAGTGAGGGAGAGAATGTTGTGGGTGAGGGAGAGAATGCTGTGGGAGTGAGGGAGAGAATGTTGTGGGTGAGGGAGAGAATGCTGTGGGAGTGAGGGAGAGAATGTTGTGGGAGTGAGGGAGAGAATGTTGTGAGAGTGAGGGAGAGAATGTTGTGGGAGTGAGGGAGAGAATGTTGTGAGAGTGAGGGAGAGAATGTTGTGGGAGTGAGGAGAGAATGCTAGGAGTGAGGGGAGAGAATGTTGTGAGAGTGAGGGGAGAGAA